CGCCCCCCCCCCCCCCCCCCTGTATGTGTTACATCTTACGAGTGACGTGAATCAACTGGTGCAGCCGTCAACCGGACAATTGCGAGGACATTGAACGCGTCCGTGTTCCGGAAATTTCTCTCAAAGAGTCACGAAAATTCTGACAAACGTGCTCCATCGACAGTGCAGCCAATCAACAACCGTGACAAAGGACAAGTTTCATACGCGGTCCTCAGCAGGTGATTGTCTTAAAGCGAAAGTGATTTTTCTTTTTTTCTTTTTTTTTTCTTCCTTTTTGTCTCGAAAACATTCGATGCATGGACAGTTTCATCAGTACTTCGAGAAAAAAGTTTAGTTCCGAAAATCGTCTAAAAGGGTAGAGTAATAACATTTACGGAAGGTCTGTAGCGTGCGCGCGCGTCACGTGCGATCCGGGATGTTGAGCGTTGAGAGCCGGTAAACTTAAACTGTTCACGTGCAGCGTTTCTAACGCGTTCACAATTCTACAAAACAAGACCACGTAGAAACTTCGAACAAGAGGGAGGGGGGGGGGTCTTTGAAAAGTGGAGACGTAGACAGTGAACAAACAGTGAACTCAACAACAGAACATTGCTTGGTTCGGTTACAGTGCATCAACTCCGGACCAGGCGAGAGTGATAACGAGTACGTAGCTTGGACTCGGGCTACCAACTGTACGCAATTGCCCCGATCGTAGAATAGACGAGAAAAGACACTATGGCGATACCATTTTTGCCCAACAACGACGAGAACACGTCGTCGGAGGAGCAGCTGATGTACCAGCTGTATGTAACTCTGCACAATGCCCTCCGGAGCAGGAACGCCCACCATCCGTCGCGAAATCGTGAGTTGTGCGCATTTTTAAATAATGTACTCTTTGTAAGCGAAATTTTTATAAACGATAGATTTCCACACCTAGTCTTTTTGACAGAAAGAGATAGAGAAGAGATAGAAAATAGACAAAATATAGAGGAATGATTCACAAGTTGTCACATGTATGAACTATATTTTTGACCGAACGTGCGCTCGCTCCGAGATTAATAATAAAATAATTGGAGATAATCGATAGGTGATTGCGATAGTCTTGAAATTGATAGCGAGTCTCGAAAAGAATTCGAAAAAAGTATTCTCGACTGCGAGAATAAAATTAGATTGATTTGATTGTTTCGAATGTATTGATGTAAGACAGGATTTATCGATGCGATAGTTGAAAGAGTATAATGACCGAGAGAAACGAGAGTAATAGATAATCGTAAAAGAAAATTTACTCTTTTAATGCAATTTAATGGTATTTATGACGGTGATTATAATGTGATATAAAAAAATTATGATGAATCACATCATCCCTTTATATTTCTGTTAGTTAGCGTTATTGTTAATAACATGCGATATTTGAAATAAAGTGCAGCATGTGTTTTTTTAGACTTTTTTTAGACTAGATTGTTTAGATATTTACGTATTATAAAATAGCAAGCGAAAACATAAAAAAGCGAACGAAAAAATAAGCGAAATGAGAAAGAAGTCTGTTATTATATGTATTAGGAATATTATTTTTTATATTTATATATTCAATTTTATATTTATATATTCAATTTTATATTTATATATTCAAAATTATATAAAAATTATATAAAAAATTGTGTGTCCAAATAAATGCTCAGTTTATAAAAACTGGAATAAAAAGTCCTTGATTTTATTCACAGATCACTACGATTTTATAACCAAAGTATTAGCTTTGTTAATTGCTAATGCTACTTAGAACCTCAAAAATTATCTGATTGAAAATATCTCGTTGACGATTGAGATAAGCAAGCGGAGTAAAGTCGGTCGATAACATCTCGGCTAGAATTCTGTAATGCAACACGTGGTTGCGATGGGGAACAATTCGGCTCAGCGCAAGAAACACGCGAGAGATCCGCGCGTGACATTTTAATTCTTGTGTTTAGAAGGATTAATTTTGCACGTCGCAAATAATTCATACGAGCCACTTCAAAAGAAAGGAAAACGTCATGTGCGCTGCGTAAATATTAATTGCACTCTTATTGTAAAATTAGCATAAAAAATGCTATACTTGAAAGTAACAATAATACTTGTATTCCCCGTCTCATTTTTATTAAATAAATAAAATTTGAAACGAATTAATTATATTGAATATATTTCTTATATTTGCAAATGTAAGATACGTAAAATACAAGTTGTATTTTTTTTTTTAAGTACCTTATTTCAAGGAAGTTAATTACTGAAAATTAGGAGATTTTTTACTTTCTTTCGATGTTGCACCATATTGACAAAAATGATATCATTGATCGAGATCATTGTCCCGCCGTGAATCATCGTCGAAACATTTCGTTTAGTCCAAGGAACGAAATCTGGATACCTTGATTCTCAATTTTGCGCAATGCCTCGAGTGTACGCCTTTGACGTCAAAAGTGATAGCGCGACAAAAGCCGCAAAACCACTCTGACATTCTCCGCAATATACACATATATATTTCTCTCTCTCTCTCTCTCTCTCTCTCTCTCTCTCTCTCTCTCTCTCTCTCTCTCTCTCTCTCTGTGTGTGTGTGTACATTTTTTTGTTTGTATAACAATATCGCATGATGTAACTTTCTAGCAAATGTTACATCAGTGAAAAGCAACAAATATTATTTTTATTAATTTGACAAAATGTGTCTAAAATGTGTTCTTAATTTTGAAATAAATCGAAAGATCACAAAATTCTCATATTTTATTCACGAAATAAATCTACAATGTAGGTTTCACAATTTAATTTCAAGTAACTTCTATATTGTAAGAGACAGAAAAATTAGATAACAAAGCTTATCGGGATTCAAACTTGAAATCCTTCACTCTGATATTAAGGCTATTATATATCCATAATTGCTTCATTACTTTCATAGTTATTTCAAACTCCTATCAATATCAATATCTAACCGACCTTATCCTTCATTCGTACAATGTTATAAATATTTACGTTATTATTGACATAAATTAATTTTTCTTTATTTTTTGAAATTCTAACAATGTCAATACTTTCAACTGAAGAATATCTTATAGTAATAATAGCTTCTAGAAAATAGATACACTATGACACACCCCATTGTAAATTGCATGGCAATGTTTCTACATTCGTAATTTTCATTTTAAAAAGTCTTTTACAAATCTATTTGATCGTGGAGAGACGAAGAACAGAATGTTTCTCGAGAGATCGCGATGGCTCATATTCGGCGCACAGTAAAATCCAACTTTACGAGAGTGCAGCGAGAAGAAGGAGAATGAATTGTACGCGAGTAAAACAGATGTAGTGTGGGTGTAGAGCATCGAGCAAAAGAAAGAGAAGGAGAGTATGGCAGACGATGTCCGGCCATGACCCTGCTCCGCTGGTCGTGCCTCCTTTACAGAGAAAAGAGAGGAGACCGGAGAAGCGAGAGGAGGATCTGCGACGTGCAGAGAGAGAAAGAGAGAGAAAGAGACCACTGGTCAGCCACAGCACACGCAGTAAAACGCGCTATAAAACGCGATGCAATGCAGCCTCGGCCGCGACCAAGTCCGAATCTCGGATGTCGATCGTGCCGGCGCACCTCGCATTGAGAGAGAGAGAGAGATTGCGGCTATCAACCGCAAGTGCGTGACATCATCGATTGCTCTCTCTTTTTCTCTTTTTATCTTCCTCTCTCTTTCTCTCTCCCTTTCTTGCCAGCGTACGCCTCGCCGCTCTGTAAATCAAGTAGAAAATCCACAAGAGTCGGTACTCAATTCCCGATGAAGCCTCAGTATAAGACGCGGAGTGGTTCTGAGCGATCTCCTACCCAATAAAAACGTTATTACGGCATATGCTATTGCAATATATGTAGAAAATTGCTGTCGCGCGATCGATCAATCTGCCTGAAACTATAAATCTCTAATATTGGATTCTAACAAGTGGATCAGTACCATGATCGAAGTTTTATTGACGATGAATGTAAGGAAATTTACTTCCTTCATTATTTAACCGCATTGCGGTTTAATCATTTCGATTGAAAAGTCCTTATAGAAATTGTTACAATAATATAATTTTATATTAAAAATACATTTCGAGATAGATATAACGTGCGGTAACGTTTACCGTTGTAACACTTCGCGGCTATTTGAGCCGCGTCGTTAATGAATACCGTTGATACAACGAATAATTTATGGAAATTTAATCTTTCGACCGTGATGGATAATGTAATCCGCGGATAAATCCCCCGCTTCACATTGTATAATATATTTTATTGCATTTTGCTCGCCGTGAATAAAGCCGTGCGTCAGGTAGAACGTAATTACCGTGCCATGTACAATAATCAAATCTTCAATCGTAATATACATCGTTTTAATGCGAACGCACGTTGCTCTTATTCCGCCATTCGCGTAATTTTCATTTACTACGCTCGACATTACAGTCAAATTGCATCATTTTATACTTTATCGATTTCCGAATGTTTAATCCAATTTAGAGTTTTTATCCATTTTTTCATCAACACATAATTATGTAAAAAAAAAGTTATCAAAATAAAATTGTGTACATTTTATCTTTTTCAAAAAATGATGAAATTCAGATAAGAAATTTAATATTCTTCAGTCATTTTACACGAATAATATTGAATAAATAATTTCCGTTGTGCAATTGTACCGATACATCGACCAACATGAGGACTCCTTGGTCTATCTTGCGCGCGTTTAAATCACACGTTACGATGCTCGGACCCATTATTTCACGAACGGAAATAGTGCCGGGCCGCGTGCACGTTGCACGGGGGTCAATAACCATAGTTGCCGCGCTTTCGCGAGAGAAGATGCAGAATTGCCGCCGCGAGCACTCGCGTGGTTGCATCAAATCGGGGGTTGTTATTTATAGGAACAGCTGTGGGCATTCCCGCACCGCGCAACGCAGTCTTCTTGTAATATTTGCAGAAAACTTCCCCCTCGTCATCTCGTGCGCTCACGCGCGAACAAACGCCTCGCGAGAGTGCGGCAATCGCGATTACGCGCGCGTCCCAAATGTATTTTAAGGCGACCACCTCCTTCGGCCCTTTTTAAAGATAGGATCGATCTGGATGGGGCGTATACTCTAATTAGACATTTACTCGGAATTTATCACGAGTCAGATTAACTTGTTAACACGAAATATACTTGATACAACAAAATTGAAGTATACTCGTATCAGCGAGAAACACGATTTCCGAACAGATTTACGAAATGATTGAACGATGTTTCAAAGTGATTTATCTTGTTTTACCCTCTCATGTCTTTTTCCCACAAGTCGCTCGATAAGACGAATCAAATGATCACAATCTCTCTAATCGAAAGAGTTTGATTTCTCGGTACGAGAAAGATCAGGTGACTTGTAACGTGATACACACTTGATACTGAACTTCATATTATGTTTCTCTCTTTCTCTTTCTCTTTCTCTTTCTCTTTCTCTTTCTCTTTCACGCACACACATACACACATAAACGCACTCGTAAACTGTCTCATGTTATCACAATAACAACGTAACAGCTGCTCACAATTTTGGAGTAAAGACGGCGAAGTCATGCTTGAAACTATATTCGAATATTTTTCATTAATAAATTTTACAGATATAATTAGAAATTGTTAATTATATTGTTAATAATACTATATCGTAATAATATCGTAGAAAACAAATAAGAAATTATCTTTGTTGGTGACAAGCCAAGCAGGAAAACTTCGACTATGACTTGGTTGATTTATCAAAGATATTCCACTTAGTAGTGGCAGACGAGCGATCGATGCCGTCGGGATGAGAACAGTGACTCGAGTCTATAGACCTTATGAAATATTGAAAGGAATTCGTCATTGTAGA